TGCATTTGTGATCGGAGAAATGACAAACAACAAGCGCTACTCTACACTGCTCAAAACTCGCGTTTGAATCATCAGTGGCAAATCCTTTAAATGAAAACGTACTTACGTGAGTCAGAACTGCCGGCATTTTAGTCTAACGTTACTCTCCCAGGATCAGTAAACAGTCCTCCATAAAATGTGCTGCACACATCTGGATATTTGGGTTAAACTGTTCTGGAACAGTGTTGTAAATACCACTGATTTGTAGTCGTGTCCTCTTTTGGAAGACCAAACAAAGTAGTTTCGCTTTCACAACGAAAAACACAGCGTCTTCAGGACATGGCTGCAGTGTCAACAATACTACAGTGAGACTAAAAGTTACGCCTTCTTTCTTTGCGTGAACATTTGGGCGGCGTTATGCAAATCTTCCCACACAGTGACGTAGGTATGTGGGGGCGTGTTAGAACGAGCCGTTTTAGGTAGGTGTGGCTGACTCTGAACTTTTATAAAGAATATCTCTTTGGATTTGAGACTTTAGTCTTTGCAACTTTACAGATCTTCTTTATGCACCAAGAACTTGTAACACTCCAAAGAGAAAGGAACAATTGAAATTGCATCATATGACCCCTTTAAAGACAAGTTGTTTATTTGATAATATTTGCTTTTGTTAAAGCCATCAGCACACATTATTCTAACTTATTTTAAAATTATCGTGTTTAACAGTGTAATGATGAAAAACTGCATTACCCATAATTCTGCAAAGAAATCTCTTATCAATCAGAGAATCGCAACAGGCAGATTGCACCAAAAGAATCGCCCAATCCCATTAAGCACTACAAATGGTGTAACCGAGTCCATGATCTCCTTTCACTCTCCATACGCATATTTGGCAACAAACGCAAGATATATTGTGTCTACATATATAATTATCTTTAAATCAGTAGTTTTTTATTACTCCGTTGTTTTAAATTTGATTATTTAATTTGCAATGCTTCATGGAAGTTTAATTCTTTCTCATTAGTGCACAATCTTGTACATTTGTCTTTTATCCAATTATTCAATTTCAAGTTTGTAATGTTGCGACTCACCTTGTAACTGGTTGGTTAGTTCATTGCTTATAACTCTTTAATGAAGACTTTTTTATTTAAATCCTTATAGGAAAATGAACAATAAGTGAGCGGCAATGTTACACTATTAGGGACTCAGAATTTGTTTATTAAAGCAATAAGCCACAAGAAGCCGTGGTTTACAGTGAATTTATAACAGCTACGGGGCATTGTTACAAACCTGACAGTACTTTCTCAATTTGGTACTCGCAGTACGCGCTTTGGATGTGACTGTGAGCGCACGTGCCTCTGGAGAGCGCGAGTACCGAATGGCTTAAAAAGACGTGAAATAATACATTTTTGTGACGATGCAACAATGACCGATCAGGCAATTGACAATTCTGTCAACTGTCCCGAAACGCGAGCTAAAGTCTTCTATCGCAGCTTGCAGCAGCTCTAGATGCGTCGATGTGAAACGAAAGTCAAAGAGAGAAGACCCGGTACAGCTGAATCACTCACGCTGTTTTCATCTGATGGTTTGTGTGGATTTATTTACTCATCTAACCTACACGCTATATTGAATAAAGGTTTTGCAGTAATTTCCCTCATTTTAAAGTCGAAAGCTGCGGGAATGAGTAATGCGATGTATGCGCAATCCCGCAACGAAATTCAGGATCTGATTAAACATAATTCTATTATACAGAGAATTGTGAAATAGATTTTCATGATTTTTTCAAAAACTTTTTGAGTTTATTTATTTTTACATAAACCTGGAAATTGCTGTTCAATGACTTTTCCAGGTTTTTCATGACCGTACGAACCCTAATGTGATGATCGGGTGCGGGTCGGGTGCGGTTATCTAAATCAGACAAAAATACAGGTGCGGGTGGTTGGCGGGTGGATCATTTATTTGAAGCTGCGGATTCGGGTGACGTTTTAGCTCATCCGCGCATCACTAATACACACCCATTTACATTTATATACGTACTTATTTATACACACCTAAGCATTTATATATACACATACACTCACCATGCACATGTGTGTATATATATATATATATATATCGCATACATAGTTACATGTACGTTTATATACACATCATACAAATGTATATATACATTGTGCACTCTATTGCTCATGTGTATATATACACATTTATTCATCAGATAGTCAGAGTCTAGACTAGTAGATTATTGGTAATGTTTTGGACTACAGCCAAATCATGATATTTAATAAGTTGCTGTCTTTGTCTTGTCTGTTCCAGGTCTTAGGTTCCCTCTTGAGTATGAGTACAGCATGAGGAGGCGTTTAGAGGATCAGGCGCCAGTGTTCACAGCTTCGAACGCGGCTCAGCCAATCAGAATCAAGGACCGGAACTATCTGTTTTATAATATACTATAATGCATTTGTCATTCTTAAGATAACGATAAAGATATCGTTCTAAAAATCGTTCTCAATATTAAAGATTAGCAGAGTCCTCACCACGACTATAACGATAAAGACAAAGAGAAACGATATCGTTGGAATCACTTTCAAAACTATTTTTGTCCAGCTGATGAACGATAAAAAATTGACAGCCAATCAGAATCCATCCTGCTGTAACGAGCTCGAGAATTTAAAGCGGCAGACGAGCGTGCGCTTAGAATAAACAGACGATATCGTTCGCTGGTGTGGACGCTAATATCGTTATCTTTATAGTTAACGTTCTTGCTGTGAACGGGGCTTTACTCTCTGCTGACGTTGCTGTCAGTGCACAGCATTTCAAATGAGTGTAAGAACCAGTAAACAGACACGAATGCCATTCTGTTTTAATAGTATAAGCAAAATGACGAAATCTTGAATAAAAACAATAAAGCTTGGCACCTTCTACTTGTGTTTATGTCGATTGTATTGATGTCTGCAGAGAAAAAAAGATGGAATTTTAGAACTGTTTCGGACCAAAAATAGCTGTCAGACTCCAATCTCTACATCAATCTTTCTCTTTTTCTTCTTCAGCCCAAGTGGTACAGTCCTTCGATCTGTGGATGAGGCGAGGGTGTATCTGCGGACAGACGGCACATGTAAATGTGGTCTCGAGTGCCCGCTAGTCCCAAATAAGGTGAGATCAACATTCACGGCTTAACCTCATTTATGATGTTTCCAGTACAAATTTGATTGCAGATTAATTAATTAGGTTTTATAGATTGCAGCTATGTTTAGAATGAAATACTAGCGTGCATGTGGAACGCTATGATTTATGACATGATAAACTACGTTGTTGATATGTTGCATGTTTTATTTAGCCATCAGCATCCAATTATTATTTCAGAAAGCTGATTATTTTAAAGTCCCATATGATAACTACTGGTTTATTTGTTACACTGGAAATGAAAGGTCAAGTTGAGTGCACTGCATTGCAAAATGCACACGCAATGTCTTCTTTGCACTTTTTAGCAAATGTCACCCAGTTATTCAGTGCATACAAAAAAGTTTGCTTTCTGTGTATCATATAAATATTGCATACTGCAGAAATAATAAGAGTTGTATGATAATATGCCATTCTAAACAAACTTTATTGCATGCATTAAAAAAAGGTGGTTAAATGTCTTTATAAATCCCTGCAGGTCTTTAATTTTGACCCTGCTGCGATGGTCCGAACTCCTGGTCATCAGTCAGGGAAAATAGAGGAAGATATGACCAAACTCTGTAACCATCGCAGGAAAGTTGATGCCATGGCGGCATTATGCCAAAGCATGCAGCCGTCCCATCTTCCCTCGCCGGCTCAAGCCACAGGTATTGCATCTTAATACACAAGTTATTCCAACACGGTTACTTTTTAGAAGAGCTGTAACATGCTTCTGTAAGCAGTTTGAGTATCACACTTCTCATGCTAATACTTTTTTGTTTAATAATTAGGTAACACTTTACAATAAGGTTCAGTTCAATTCAGTTTATTTTTTAAAGCACGTTTAAATACAACACGTTGTTCCAAAGAGCTGTACAGAACCAAAAGACAAATAAAACCACAATACAACAGTCAAAGATGTTCAATTCATAAACATAGTTCATTCTTGATACTTCATGCATTAACTAATGCACAACATTTTTACAGCAAGTTAATGTTAAAAGTATTGTTCTGTTAGTTTGATACCTAATGCATGAACTAATGTTAACCCTTAATGCAAATTATTTTGTTGTCTATTAATGTATTGTTTAATTAATGTGCCTATATTTTCAAAATGCTGTGTATGTTAGCATTTATTCCAGCGTTTAAACAACTTCATAGACCTCAATGGTAGGTGCTTTACTGTAAACACATTTTTTACTTATTTTTACAAACTGAGGGACAAGTTACAACGATTGTCTGTAGTAATTGACAGCATGACTCATATGCTCTTCATGGAGCTTAACTTTTATTGAACCCAGACCATTCCTTTAACAGCTTGTCTTGAAGTACATTGCAGTATGTGACCACTACTGTTCTCATGGAGTGAAGATGATTCTCTACATCTTGTGACCAAATATTATCTATTCAAATTATTACATTTGTCTAAAGCATGCAGTCATCTTCAGTATCCAGTTCACTTGTAACTTGTAAACTAAACTGCAACCACTAAGTTTCCCTTTACTAAAAACATTACTATTCATATCAAATTATGATATACAGTGTCTATAAAAGTATTCGCCCCCCTGGAGTTTTTCCACATTTGAATCACTAAAGAGATTTGAATTATCATGTTGAAATCTGAATATTTTGCTGTTGTTCAGTGTCATAAAAGCCAACCCTTTGTGATTCAGTGTTAAAAAGTCCTAAAATAAACATTTGCATTTATGCATTCAGTAGATGCTTTTATCCAAAGCAACTCACAAAAGAGGAACCAAAGCAGTTTGTCAAAGAGCCAACAATATTTATAATATACAATGCCATGTTTGGTAGACAACTTAGATTTTGATTTTTAGGGGGTAATTGCTTTTTTTAGGCACTGTACCTGTCTTTAAGTTCAGCTTTTTTTCAGTAAGGTGAGTTGTGTTGTCTTAATGTTTGTTTAAGGAGGTGTTATATACTCCGTGGACGGCAGAGAGCCGAGAGGATCAAAGGTGGCTCATGGAGATTGCGTCCACTGCACTTACCCTCAGCCGAGACACAACCAACCCAAATCCAACATTGGTTTTCCTCTGTCATCTCCTCGCTCTGTTGTGCAAAACGGTTCTGTTAGCCTCGCCCCAATTTCACGGCCTCCAGAACAGGGTTCGCCTTTAAAGAAACCCCAAACGCCAGTGGGCTGCATGCCTGGTTATGCGAAACAGCAGTGGAGCCCTCATCCACTAATTCCCCAAAACATCCCCCAAAGGACAGTGCACAACCCCACTTCCCCTAACAGTGTAAAACCAAGTGTACACACGCATATACATCCTCCAGACCCCTCCAACTCCTTTTCCTTATCCCCCTCTTCATCCTTAACTCTAAGTGGTAGAGGAGCTCCGCCAAACACCCAGGGAGCGAGTGTCAAGTCGCCTTCTCCTCTGTCACCCTCGCGTACCTTGGACACTTTCTCACCCCACCAACGCTCTCGCCACTCTTCGACGTCCTCGCTCTCAGAGCACGGGGCCCAAGGGTCCGTCTTCATTCAGGGAGGCAAACCGTTGCAACCCACCATGCTGTGCTCCTCTCCCAAGCTTCCTCTTGCACCTTCCAGTCCATGTAGTCGCTTGGAGGGCATTCTGCAGCACTACAAAGACTGTAGCACGAGCTCCAGTGCTAACCAAAGCAACCATCAGATGTCACAAGCCCTGTCGTTGGTGCATCCCAACGCAGGCGACAAGAGGAACGGAGTGAGTTCTGCTCAAGCTCCAGGACTGCTTGGCCTTCCACTAGGGAAGATTCTCAACCAACAGAAGAGCCAGCAAAAGGGCCACATCAATAACTCTTTCCCAGCCAGCAACCTCCTTTCTGCGGCCGCTAAAGCCCAGCTGGCCAACCAGAAAACCCAGCTCAATGCAGCCGATGCATTGACTGCACTCCCTTTTACAGGCTTGGACAAGGAGCAGCAGTCAAAGGTATTGATTAGCACTTTAAACAGTAGCGTCCACCCCACTTCCGCCAGAGCACAGTCCCTGAACGCCCTTTTGCTTCCGCACTCCCCTTCCCTTTCCCCGGCTTCCCCTGCTGTCGTGGAGAAAAGCTTAAGGCGCAAACGGCAGAGGCGCTCGCCCACCGTTTTGAGAATGCGCAAAGACTCGCAGTTAGGTCTGACCGCAGGAGATCTCTCCTGGCCGCCTCTGCTCATCTCCCCATGCCTTTCGCCACCTTCTCCTCCTGTACCTCATTTAGACAACCACCGGCTGCCCGTCGCTCCTCTGAATGCCTCCAGGTTGCAGGATTCGGAGGAAGGCAGGAAGCCAGGACTTGCTAATTCCCTACCATCTCCATCGCAGCCCCTTTCCGCCCTGCTTCAGCTTCTTAGCATGCAAAGCACAACCCAGCAATCCGGCGTTGCCACTGCCATGCCTGGCAACAGGCACACAAACACATTGCCCTCTTCACCCAGACCCATCACTCCACAGACGCCCCAATGCGACATGCAGTCCACATTACGTTTACCCAACCACACCCTGCAACCTCAACCCCAAAGCACAGTGCCCATGCCGGAACCTCCTATCCAGCGACCCCCATCCCAACCCTTTCCTTTGATGGGTGAGGAGACAACCATGAACCTCAAAACAACCTCCAGCAGCACCATCCTGAACTTGAGCCAGACGACGCCGGACCTCAACAGTTCAATTCTGAGCATGATGAACCAGATGTCCTCAACATGCTTGCCCTCATTCCCGGAGAAAGGTTGTGGACCCAAAACAACAGAGACTTGTCTTGACCACAGTACCTACCAAATTAACCAGTCAAACCACAACCAAGCTGTGGAAAGTAAAGGTGAGACTTAGGCATGTAACGGTATCAAATTGTCATGTTGCAATAATTGCTAAAGCTTTTATCACGGTGCACAGTATTATCACGATATTGAAATAAGTTGCAAAAAAGTGTTGTCATATTAAAGTATAACAACTTTTTTCTTATGACAAAAAGAGCTGAACATTTAAATACAATAAAGCAATACACAAAAGATGGAAACAAGGAAACAGATGTTTCAAACAAGTTAAAGTGCAATAGAATTATAAAGATCAATGTAAAGGCATATTTACACCAAGGACGATAAAGATATAGTTCTAAAACTAACGATAAAGGTAATAGTAAAGTGTCTGAACGGGGCTTAACACTTTACAATAAGATCTCATTAGTTAACTTTAGTTAATGCACTAACATTAACAATGAGCAATAGCTTCATTTGTTACAGAAGTTATTATTATTTGTTGAAAATTACCTATTAGCTCGGGTCCATTAAATAATACTGTTAGTATTTTTTATTTTAATAGCGTGTTATTAAATGTTGAAATTAACTAAGATTATTAAATGCTTTAGAAGAATTTTTCATTGGCAGTTTGATAACTAAAGAATTAACTAATGTTAACTAATGGAGCCTTAATGTAAGCAAAAACAGTAAGATTTAGAAATATTTTACTATTTCAAATAACTAATAGAATCTGAATAGAAAATTCAGAAGAACAGCATTTATCTGAAATAGAAATCTTTTGCAGCATTATAAATGTCTTTATCATCACTTTTGATCAATTTGAAGCATCCTTGTTAAATAAAAGTAGTAATTTCTATAATTTCTTTCCCAAAAACAAAAACAAAATTATACTGACTCCAAGCTTTTGAATGGTATAGTGTATAATGCTACGCAAGCTTATTATTTCAGATAAATGCTGATCTTTGGATCTATCTATTCATCAAAGAATCCTGAAAAAAAATGTACTCAACTGTTTTAAATATTGATGATAATAAATGTTTCTTGAGCAGCAAATCAGCATATTAGAATGATTTCTGAAGGATCATGTGACACTGAAGACCGGAGTAATGATGCTGAAAATTCAGCTTTGATCACAGAAATAAATTGCATTTAAAATTATATTCAAATAGAAAGCAGTTTTTTTAAATAGTAAAACTATTTCACAGTATTACTGCTTTTGCTGTAATTTGGATAAAATAAATACAGGCATGGTGAGCATAAGATAATTCTTTAAAAAACATTAAAAATCGTACTGTTCAAAAACTTTTAACTGGCAGTGTAATTATTCACGGGTTTTTTTTGAAGTGCCCACGCTAACAATATCGTGCATGTTCATTATCGTGATATATTGTAACACCGGCACATGTCTAGTGATAATCTTCTTTGCTTGTATTTCTTGGGGCATTTTCACAGCAATAGTGGTTTGGGTGATCCATTTGACACTTGTGTTTTCTCGGCAGGTCCTGTAGAGTCGATGGATCAGCCGGACTCGGATGCAAGATTGCT